TTGGCCTAGGATAGGTCACGCGCGGGGCCCAGGTCGAGCAAGGGGAGACGACACGACGACGACGTGGGGCCCCCAGCTGTCACGCTGTTAGGACGACGACGAGGAGTAGGGCGAGGACGAGGACGACGAGGACGAAAACAACGGCGAGGAGGAGGTCAAGAACGAGAACGAGGAGAACGACGACGACGACGAGGACAAGGAAGAAGACGAGGACGAGGAAGAAGACGAGGACGAGGACGAGGACGAGGAAGAGGCTGACGATGATGATGATGATGCTGCTGATGATGATGATGATCATGATCATGATCATGATGATGATGATGATGATGATGATGATGATGATGATGATGATGATGATGATGATGAAGGCGAGGACGGCGACGACGACGAGGACGAAGGCGAGGACGACGACAACGACGAGAACGAGAACGAGGACGAGGCTAGCGATGACGACGACGACAACGACGACGACGGCGACTACGACGACGACGACACCGACGACGACGACGACGACGACGACGACGACGACGACGACGACGAGGACGGCGGGAACGAGGACAAGCACGAGGACGAGGACGAGCACGAGCACGAGGACGGGGACGACGACGACGACGACGAAAGCGTGCTGAACTGGGCCGCAGCAGCGCCCTACTGGGACATGGCGCGGGCCGCAGCCCCATGCGCTTTCGGGCCCAAGACCACCACACTTTGAGCCCGCGACACGCAGGTCCGCAGGGTAGGCGCCCATCGGGCCGGGCGAAAGGGGGGGGGATAGCAAAGGGGGGGGGGAAAATCAGCTCGCGTAGCTGATTTCCCCGGCGCCTCCCGGCGCCGGGAGGCGCCCATGGAGCGAGGAATGAGCCCGGCGGCGGGGCCGAAACCGGCTGCATGCAGCAGATTTCGTCGCCCCCCCCTTTCCCTATCCCCCCCTTTCGTTCGGGCCGAGCCTAAGCCAGGCGCGCGGGCCGCCACTGTCGCATCGCGCTCCGCGACCGAGGGCCTTGTGACCTTGTGTGTGAGCCCACACCGAAGGCCACTCCATGGCAAAGGGCCACTCGTACGCGTAGCCGACGGATCCGGGACGAAGAGAGGCCCCTCCCAGGGGAGAGGGCCCAAAGACGCTCCGCGGACGTAAGAAAGGAACCGGTTCGTTGGAAGTCTGGGGGCACAAACCCTCCCAAGCGCATGTCGGCTGAAAGAAGGGGGCAGGGAAGGGCGGGGAGCGCTTTGTTGCCGCAGGAGCGAGGTGCCTCGCCGCGTTCGAGCAAGAAGACGTGGGATGCCCGTGGCCGGGCTGGGCACAGCGGGCGGCGAGGGAGAAGGAGCGCGCGGAAAAGGGGGGGCAGAACACGCTCAGAGCGTGGAGTCTCTGCACGCGCGTCCCCGAGCGCGTGCACAGCGCGGAAGCGGAAGCCCCTGAAGGAGCGGAGCTCGATGCGGAACTTCTCTTCGTCGGCGGCGAGGCAGAGGCAGTCCGCCCCAGCGTGTGGCTATCCGGGGCAACCGAAAACGAATTGGCCGACGTGCAAGCGGGGGGAAGAAGACGGGGGCGGCCGCGCGGGGGTAGGGGGAGGGGAAAGCGCGAGCTTCAGGTCGGGCATGTCCTCCTACAGGCGGAGCTTGGGCGAAAAACCAAACACCAAATATTTTTGATGTGTGTTTCATATCCCTCCTGAAGCGGGACGTGCCCGGCTTGGCGCCAGCTCGATGCGGAACACGCGAGCGGACGCATCGCCCCGTCACCTCCTGGCTGCCGGGCGCACGCAGCCTCGCCCGAGCCTGCGGGGCCCGCAGCCCCGGCGTCGGGGGCCAGGGCTTCCGCCCGAGCCGCCCGTCTGATGGCCCCCACGGATTCCAGGAGCGGCCTCCCTGAGTCCCAGGGCTGGCCTGTGGCAGCTCACGGGAGCCTCCCATCCCATCTTGTTGGCTCTTGCGAATCGGCACTAAGTCGACGCTATTCGATGCTAAATCGACGCTAGCCGACGCTAACCGACGCTAAATCGACGCTAGCCCCTCGACTCCCAGACGCTTATCTACGCGAGTCGACGCTAAAGACGGGATTCAGAGGGTATACCAGGCTCCCATGATTTGCTACCGAAAGGTTGGGTGAGCTTTCATGGGAGCCTCTGTGGACCTACGCGGCCCTATCAGAAACGCGCTTTCGGGCAGATGCCTCGAGATTTCGACCGCCCTCCTTCACCCTTTCGTCCAGATGTCGTCCAGCTGACGTCAAAATGTCAACCAGACCCGACGAAATCCGGATAAAACCCGACAAATCCGCAAGGACGTGTTGGACCCTCTGAGGTCCCCATGAAGGAGCACACAACCAAGGTGATCACGGATCAAGCTCGACTTCGAATCCCGCAAAAGAGGGACGGCGGGACGACCGAGGAAGACTGCCCGAGACAGGCTTGCATAAATCCCAGGGCGCAGACACACAGATGGAATCTTGGGAGGCCCAAGTTAGAGGAACAAGAACGCATGACATAAGCGTAACCTTCAAGAAATCTGCGCGCACCTCGCCAATCCCTGAAATCCGCGCAGACCTCCGAACATTTATAATTATGCTGCTGCCCGCCTTCGGAAAAATTAGCGACCCCAGGTCGGCTGCACGCAGGAGTGACGCTGGGCAAGAGGAACCTCTCGTGCGCGGCCACGGAGGGGCCTTGGGGACACCACCAGGCGCGTAAGCCGTTACGGTCGCATCGCATTCAACGGTCGGGGGGCCCCATAGCACAGGCCTCCTGAATGGGGTCCGAATAGATGGGGTCGAAGGATCGCGCCGCATCGCAAAAGCATCGCCGATGCGGCGCGATCTTACGACCCCATCTGCTCCGACCCACCATCTGGGAGGCCTGCAGCATCGCACTCGACGATCGGGGGGTGGCACAGCCCGCACCAGAGGTCGCGAGGATCCAAGAAATCCGCGCGGAGCGCCAAAAGTTCATGTTTGTGGCGTTTGCTCGTTCTTCGATTGACGTCTTTTTGGAGCCACCGGCCGACTGCAAAGGGGCGACGGCCTGGGCCGGCTCCGGCCTCACGCCCTCAAGCGGCGCCCAGCCGCAGCCCGCAGGCGGCGCGCGGGCGGGGGCCTCACTCTCGCGAGACCGCCGAAACCCCGGGCGCCTGCGACGCGGCCGCGGCGGGAGAGGAATGCCGGATGCTGCTGGAAGCGGTCCTCTGCTTTTTTCACCCGTTGTGGAGCCCCTGGCAGGACTGAGATGTTGCTGGAGGCTTGAAGGCAAAAAGACATAAGCACAAACTTTTGGCGCTCCGCGCGGATTTCTTGGATCCGCGCTGGGGCACCCCCTGGCGGCGCCTCCGGCGCCGCCCCTGGCGCGCTCTGCGCGCCAGGGAGGGGGATCCAGCGCAGATCCAAGATATCCGCGCGGAGCGTCAAAAGTTTATGTGTATGCCGTCATTCCTTCCTCTAGTAGCAGTCCCCAACTTGTTTCACACATCTTGGAGCCCCAGGCAGGTCTGAGATGGATCGGATCGCGAAATCGGGTAGGGAATCATCCCGAGTCGAATCGACGTCGGGTCGCTGCGCACTACTCCAAAGGCCATGGCCGAGGCTGGTGAATCGAGCCGGATCGAATCGAATCGGAATTGCGGCCCCGGCTGCCGAATCGAATCGAATCGGATCGTAGGCGGCCATGCCTGGGGCCCTCTCAGCCTCGCAAGGGGTGCTCTGGAGCCCGTGGGGGCCTCCGTGGAGATCCTGGAGAAACCTGTGGCCAGGTACACCGCTGGCACCTACCTTCCCCGATACCCAACACGCAGAACGTAGCGTAGTGACACGGAGCTCAACACGCAGACTGACCATGTAGGTCTGACGCACCACGTTCGCCAAAACGGAGGGCAGCACGTCGAGCCAATACGCAGCGTGTCAACACGGACGTTTTGAACACGGCGAGTGTTGGGTTTCAACACGGGCGTATCTGGTGAAACCAAGAGGTGACGATACTGCAACTACTCCCAGGACATCCACCTGGGTGCGTTCTGACGGGGACTTCGAGGCGAATCCAGTGGTGGCGACGAGGGCTTCCCAGGAGGCCCCCAAACGCTGCGAAAACTAGGCAAGGGTACAATCAGACCCAAGACAAAGGACCTCCTTCAAGCACACGCGACCCTCCGCCGGCAAAAACACACAGAACATCTGAGGGCACCTTTCCCAGAATGCACAAAAACATCAAATAAACACTATGAACATGAGGGCACCCTCCCCGAACCGACCTCGATCTTATACCTCGGTCCGACTGTAGCAGTACCAGTACCTCATCCTTCGGCGGCCAGCGAGGGGGGGAAGTGAGAAGGAGAAGGCCTTCTCAGAAGGCTCGGGAGTCCCCTGGCCGTCTGAGAAGTTTCCGAAGCCTTCCTCGAGGACATAAAACCACTTCTCAGAATGCGCGAGGGTTTCTGAAAAGTCCCGCCACCGTCTGAGAAGGCCTTCTCCTTCGAACTTCCCCCCCTCGCGCGCCGCCGAATGTGGTTTCTGGGTCATAGCTCAGGTCTCCGGCGACCGTTCAGGACGATCCAGGCGCCCCCGACATGCCTTCGGCGAGGCGCAGCTGCCGGCAAGCATCCCGAACCGCCGAGAACCCACGACGACGCCCGAGAACCTCGAGCCTCGAAGTCCGAACCTCGCACTTCCCCCCCTCGCTCGCCGCCGATTCCTTCCCAGAGCCTCGGGGCAGCTCCGCTAGGGCGACGAAATCTATACATATCCACTGCTCCCTGGCCAGGCCCATCCTCAACCCGGCAGCGGTGTATACGCCCCGCCCCCCTGGCTTGGCCAGGAGGGCGCATGCACAGCTCCTGGGTTCAAGATGGGCATGGTCAGGGAGCAGTGGATATGTATAGATTTCGTCGCCCGATCCGCGCTGGCCAGCCGCCCGAGCCTGGCCAGCTTCGGGCCTGGCGCCCCGCGGCGGCCCGGCGGCGGTGCCGCGGCCCGCGGGGCGGCGGACGCCGGCCGCGCGCGCGCGGCGCAGGGAGCCTCACGCGGGGCCGCGCAGGCGCTCCTCTCGGCCGCTCAGGGATGGGATTCGGAGGTGACTCTCAGGGGGACGTAAGACCTGGGTACAGGGGACTCGGAAATCCCCGACGAGGTCGTCAAAAAAATGACGAGGCCGAGCCTGCATTTTGACGAGGCCTCCCGCTGCAGACATCCCACGAAACTCCTCCTCGTCAAAATCCGAGGCGCGGTCGTCAAAAAACGATGGCGAACCCAAGTCCTGGCAAACCCAGGTCTTACGCTCCCCCGAGACTCCAGTCGACCCATGCCAGGAGGACGCACGATAAGGATCTGGGACTTAGAATGCCGTTTTGAAGTTTGACGGGCGGGGCACGGCCGGCGAAAGTGGCCAAGGGTGGACCGAAGAGGCAAGGAGGCAAGGATGCAGAATTTTTTTGGGGGAAAGATTGCCCGTCCGTCTTACGCGGTTTGACTGTAAGCCCCATTCGGGAGCTAATGCGCCGGATTAGGCCGCGGACTGAGCGGGATCAAGCCGGATTACAAGCGGGATGAAGCTGGGTCGGGCGGGAGCTAGCCGGAGTGACTTGAATTTCGGACCAGGGCAGAGACAAATATCTACCTCCCAGGAATTGCATCCGAAATAAGGCCCTACGGGGCGGGGCCCTTAAAGATCTGGGAGCAATCATGGAGGCAGATCGCGGCAACTCGAGACCCAGAGCACGTCGGATCCACGTCGGATTCGCGTCGGGTTCGCGCCAGACTCGCACCAGATTTGCGTCGGACGCTCCGTGGGAACCTCGCCGCACGAACGTTTTCCCATGCCTGACGGGGCGGACTACCATTGCCCCAACGTCGACTCAAAATACGTACTGTTCGTAAGCCAAGGCGCCCGGCCCACAGCTGGCCATTCCATCGTGAGGGTCGCCACTTTTCGAAGGCCACGGCGCCTGGCCCAACCAGGAGGTGCGCTATCCTCGACAGGGTCGCTACTTTTCGAACGCCAACAGAGGTGGCAGGGGCCTCCGGCCCACTGGGGGGGGGGGGGGGGGGGGCAATCCTCGAGAGGGCCGCCACTTTTCGAAGGCCACGGCTTGTAAGGCAACGACTCCAGCCTGGGAGCCCAGGAAAAACGTGAAATTGCAGTGAACGCGAAAGAAAATTTAACGCTGCGACACAAGTGAAAACTATGTCTCCGCCGCGCAATTGCACAGAAGCCGCCCGCTGGATTAGCGCAGTGGCGCGCGGCGCACGCGAAACGAAACTGCGCGCGCTCGCCCAAGGGCGATCCACCCCGGACAACTCGAACGCCTCGCTTGCGAGTCGACTACGCAGCCCCCCCGCATTTGCACATCTCCGACGCCGCATCTGCGCGGGCAGCGGCGGCGCCGATACGGCGGAAGGCAGACTAGGGGGCAGAGGCAACAGCGCAGCCACTGACAGGAACGACGGCGCCAGGAAAACGACGACGTGGCCGACGAAACCCGCGCGCGAGGAGAAGGAGAGGGGGCAGGCGCGCGACATCGCCTGGAGAATAACGCTGGGCGAAGAGGGAGCGCACAGGCAGGGGGGCGACTAGAACTTGAACGGGCGGCGGCTAGAACAGCCTCGATGGGCCGCTGAGAACGGGCCCTTGGGACGAGGGGGACAAGGTGATGAGATAGAGAAAAATCAATGGAGGCGGGCCCGGGCCGCGCGAAGCTACAGGCCGACTCGCCGCTGCAAAGGGCCACGGGCCTCCCCACACTCCTGCGATCCAACTCTCATATGGCCACTGTACCATCATCGCGCGAATGCCGATGGCAAAACGTCCTTCGTGCCCCCGCGCACCGATGACGTCAAGAGCACGCCGCCGCGGCCCGCGCGGCTGCCGCCGCTGCGACTTGCGAGTCAGCCAGCAAGAACGCCCCCCAGACTGCCGCCGACGACGTGGACCCCCCTGTTCCTCGCCTCTTCCCCCCCCCTCCCTCCCCCCCCCGATCGCGCCCCCCCCCTCCCTTCCCCCTCGCGCGCTCTTCATCCTGCCCACCGCCCTCTCAAACTAGCCCCCTCGTTCCCCCTGGCCGTCTGCGCCGCGACCCCCCGCGGCGACCCCAATCCACGGCGCCGCTCGCATCCAGCCCAGGCCGCGCCGATTGCGCCAGCGCCTCGGGCAGCCAATTCGAAGGCAAAATTCCTGCTAGATGTCCACCGCGACCCAGGGCGGCGAGAGATACCCCCCAGGAGGCTCCGCACCAGACGCCGGCACAATCGCCGCGGGGCCTCGATCGGCGCGGTCCCCTGGCGGCCGCGATTTGTTTAGGTGCGTTCGAGGTGCCCCAATCGAAATACACTAAAAGTGAAGGGGGAAACAAAAAACAAAAAACAGCCCAAGCATTCGCAATCCCCTGGGGAATTCGGCGCGCCCATTTGAAACAAGTAGAAATTAGGCGGCCGAAATAAGCGAGACGCCCACCGACTCGGCGCGCATGTTTCGCAGATGTTCGTCTATGTGTTGCATATGTTTCGTACGGAGAATACCCAACAAATACGATAAAAAATAAGCGGACGGGGAGGCGCCTATTTGTTTCAAAAAATGCACAATACATGCGCGAAAAGGAAGCCCGCCCCGACCGGCGAAACCGCAAGACAAATAAGTGCGAAATGACTTGCTCCCCTGGGCAGCCGGCGGGGGCGAGGTGGAACAGCGCGACGCCCCCAGGAGGCCCGCGACGGAATGCGGCTGCCCCATAGGGCCTCGCCCTCCCCCTGCCCATGCACTCTTGGGATGAGAGCCTGGCCGCCTCCTGGCGCCAGACGGGCGGGGGGGCGGGAGGGGGCGCAACGCCGGGCGAGGGGCGCAGCCGCGCGGCTCAGCAGATGACGTCTGCGCCGCGCCACCCTCCGCGGCAGTGTACCCAAGAAAGTTTCGCCGACATGGGGAGGTGCCTCAAGAGCAGGGGCAATGACCCTACGAGAAAATGCCGTGGCCTCGAAGGGGGCTCCAGCCGTCGCCCCTGATGGTGGGCCCACAGAAGCCCCCAACGGCCGCGGCCGCGCGCGGTGCTCGCAGGACCCTCAAGCATTTGCCCAACCGAAATCCGCAATGGCAGAGGCTACGCGCCCTACTTGCACACCCCTCGCACGCTTCGTGGCCCCACAGGCGACTCCGTCGAGGCCGCGGTAGCAGCGGCCGCGCGCGGCACTTGCATTCCCCAGGCTCCATCAAAGGCCCCAGCGGCATCAGCCGCGCGCGGTGCTTGCGCACCCCTTGCGCGTTCGATGGCCCGAATAAGGAAACCCGCCAAAGGTGCCAGCGTCAGCGGCCGCGCGCATACTTGGGCACCGGCGTCGTGGCCCTATGGGAACCTCCACCGAAGGCCCCAGAGGCGGCGGCCGCGCGCGGCACTGGCAGAACCCTCACGCAATTCGCGGCTCGGCGGGGAAACCCGCCGAAGGCCCTACCGGCAGCGCAGAGGCGCGCCTTATCTGCGCAACTGGCACGCGCGTCGTGGCCCCGCAGGAAGCTCCGCTGAAAGCCCTGACCCCGCTGGCACCGCTAGCGCGGCGGCCCTGGTTCTTGTCAGCATGCCCCTGTCACGCGCTCCCTGGCCCCCTTAGAAATTCCACCAGAGGCTGAAATCAGAACTGCAGATTTGCGGGCCCTTCGCCAATAACTTCTTTGACGCGCGCGGGCGACGCCAGGCCCCGCGCCGCGCCAATTCACGGCGCGCCCCCGCGGCGAGAGACCCCAAAACCGAACCATGAAAGCCGATCCCGCGCGCCGCTGCAGGACGCATGATCGCCCTGAGCTGCCATGACAATCGGCTTTCCCAGCAAGGCACTTGCTGCGCGCCGCAAACACCGTTTGCGCTTGAGCGCGTACACCTTATAGCATAGGACCATTTATCTTACATGAATCGAATACAGGTTGTTCACCTAATTCCGTAACCTATTTGACAGCCTCTTTGAAATTATTCAACATACCAGCATCTCTCCATACTACCTTCGTTCTAAGCCACGGCGTCCCGCCCGCAGCTGGCCCACAGAGCCGACAGAGGCCTCCAGCCCACTGGGGAGGGCGCCATCCTCGAAAGGGTCGCCACTCTTCGAAGACGAAGGGGCCCGGCCCACAACTGACCAATGGAGCTGGCAGAGGCCTCCAGCCCATCACAAGGACAAAAAGCACAGCAAACGTGAACCGTGATGGCATCATCTCCAAGTACCACATGAACAACATAATGAAAACATGAAGATAGGTACAGTACCAACCATTATAACAGCAGCGATCACATCATGGCCGCTGGAACAGCAAAGACAACATGAGCAACGGTGTGAGGAGCAACGGCAATATCGTCAATAACCGCATCAGTTACGGAATGACAGGAACAGAAACAACTGATCAATAACTAGTTACATATCTCTACATACATATATATATATATATATGTATATCCATAAAGCGACCAAAACAACATGACGACCGCATGAACAGCAAGGACGACACAAGCAGCAGCCGCATCGCCGCATCATAACCACAATAGCATAAGAACCACATCAAGAGGCAACGACGACATAAACAGCAGCCGCAACATGAGCAGCAGTGACGACTTCAGCAGCAGCCACATCAGCGGCAATATCATCAGTAAAATAATAACGAGCAGCAGCCACATGAGCAAAGCTGGCAAAGATCTGGAATCACCAAAAACTGCCGAGTAAGAACCCGTGGCGCTGAAACATACTTGGAAAACTGTTTTGTGCCGCGCGAGGCCGCCAAGAAAACTGGCTTTCCACTTTGAGTCGCTGCCTGACGGCCCTAGGGCGCAACAAGGGCCCCCAGAGGGCGAAAACTGCTGAAAACCTGCCGACGTGACTTCTGCTCACGCCGCGAGGGTGTCTGAGTCCTTATAAGGCCCCCTCTGCACGGTTTCCCCCCTGGGCCGTAGGCGACCCGAGGAGGAGGAGGCGGAGGAGGTGGAGGAGGGGGAGGAGGAGGAGGAGGAGGAGGAGGAGGAGGAGGAGGAGGAGGAGGAGGAGGAGGAGGAGGAGGAGAAGGAGGAGGAGGAGGAGGAGGAGGAGGGAGGAGGAAGAGGAGGACGGGTCGCCAAAGCCTTTCGGAGAAACCCTCCAGCCTCCCTCGGGGCCCATCTTTGCACCGCCCGTCCTCCTGGAGGCGGCACAGGTTCGCCTGCTCGCCGGCCAGCGCGGCCCCGATCCTCCTCTGCAGGCCCGCCGCCTCTCTCGCACGTGGCGACGGGGGGCACGCTCGGCTGCGCACAGGAGGGACCTTTGGTGAGAGTGGCCTCTGGTGCGCGGCTTGTTGCGCACGGCTTCCCCCGGGGCCGTAGGCGACCCGAAGAGGAGGAGGAGGAGGAGGAGGAGGAGGAGGAGATGGAGGAGGAGGAGGAGGAGGAGGAGGAGGAGGAGGAGAGGGAGGAGGAGGAGGAGGAGGAGGAGAGGAGCGGAGGAGGAGGAGGAGGCGGAGGAGGAGAGGAGGAGGAGGAGGAGGAGGAGGTGGAGCAGGGGGAAGGGGAGGAGGAGGGAGGAGGAGGATGACGGGTCGCCTAAGCCCTTCGGAGAAACCCTCCAGCTTGTTGGGGGGGCGCTGGGGGGACCAAACACGAGCGCGCAAGACGCTGCTATCCCATCGCGTGCGGTGATCGGGGGGGCCCAGTGGTCCCGCACCAGCGGTCACTCCGGCGAAGGGTCGCTCTCACGTGTAGTCGACACGTTCGCACCAAGAGCTTCTGGAGCCGGCTCTCGGCCCTCGAGGGTCCGAGGCCCCCTGGGTCGTGAGAAGAGCGCGGCGGGGGCGTAGCTGCCACGAAACGCAGCACGTAACCCGTAGCGGGTTGGTACGGAGCTCACATCGAATCGACTCGGATCGTAGGCGGCCATGCCTGGGGCCCTCTGGGCCTCATAGGGGGGTGCTCTGGAGTCCTTGGCGGCCGTTTGTGGAAATCCTGCGGATTTCCTGCGGCCAGGGACACCTCTGGCACTTAGCTCCCCCGATACCCAGCACGCAACACGTAGCGTGTTGGCACGGAGCTCAACACGTGGACTGAAACTTCAGGTCTGGCGGAATACGTTCGCCAAGACCTGAACCAACACGTTAAACCAGCACACAACATGTTTACACGAACGTCTTGGACACGGTGCGTGTTGCGTTTCAAAACGGACGTATCAGGGCAAGGAAGTCCGGGGGTGGGGGGGGCAGCAATTTTCGGCCTCTGGGGGCACTCGCCCAACCCCAGGACCGCTAAAAGACGGATCGGGATGAAAAGCCGGTTCCCAGGAATGGGTCGAGGCCTCCAGGGGTCCACGTTGTGAGAAAATCATGACGCCGTGGGTCTGGGATCAAGACTTTCAGGAAGGGTCGGGACGCTTCCAGGTGGGTTCCGGGTCAACCAAGTGAAATGCTGAGCTCGAGAAAACATCGGTGGCACGGAAAAGCCGAAACGTGCTCCTGCTGTGGCTCCTAAGACGTGCTTGCGTGGAATCGTAGACGTGCTCCTGGCGGGGCGGCACGGGCTGGTCTGCGCCGGGAAGGGCGGACCCAGCCCCAGGTCGCTGGACGCGGGGCGCCGAGCTCCTCTGCCCGGGGTCTCGGACGCCGGGCTCCGGGTCGAGGTCGCGGGGTCCCATGGGTCTCTGGCCCGCTGGCAGACGCTCTGCGGCAGCTGCTCTGCCTCTGTCTGCCTCTGCCCTGCAACGCGCCGGGCAAGCCAGCATCGTATGCTTCCCCCCCCCTTGCTTTTCTCCACGCGATGGGCAGGATAGATGTGTACGCTGTTTCGCCCCTACACTTCCACGAGACGGGGAGGATGGGGTCACATCTTCGCGCCGCCTACATTGCCACGTGACGAACCGATTGGAATTGTACCTTTTCCACCCTTTGCGTTACAACGAGAAGAGGACAATGGGATGATATGTTTTCGTCCCCCCTGCGCTGCCACGCGCCGAGATAGACTAGAATCAGAATGTGTTTCCGCCCCCCTGCGCTGCCTCGCGACGGAAAGACTGGGTATGTTTTCATTTCGCCCCTCTGCACTCCCATGTCGCGAGCAAACTTGACTCGTGATTTGTGGGCCCCCCTCCGTTGTCGCGTGAAGAACCAAGGTTGCATACTAGTTTATCGTCCCCTCTGCGGTGCCACGTGACAATGAAAGTGGGGTAATGTGAGTTCTTTCCCATGCGCTACCACGCGCTGAACAGACAAGAATAGTGGTTGCTCTGCCCCCCCGCGTTGCAATGTAACGGATTGAGCGGATATCTATGTGTGTCGTCCCTCTGCGTTGCCCTGAGATCCGACGTGGCGAAAAAAATGCAACATCGTAGAAGATCGCGTCTAGAGTCCCAGACCCTATCTTCTGCGCCATTTTTCAAGCCGGATCGATCTGTGAGGGTCCTGGGACACGAAAGTATGCGAAAACGCCCGGCTCGAAAAAATTGAATCGCAAGGATCTCAGGGTGCCACGCGGTGAACAGCAGAATGGAATCGCATGTTTGCCGCCCCAATCCAATATCATATCGTTGCCACCCCTCCCCGATGGACAGAACAGATGTGCATGCGCTTCGCCCATCTGGGCTGCCTCGTGGCGAACAGCATGTCATCGTCGGTATTTGCCCCCCTTCGCGCGGCCACTTGACGATCAGCGTAGCATCGCATTGTCTCGGCCGCTGTGCGTTGCCACGTGAAGTATCGCGTAGATGTGTGTGTGTGTGCTTCGACCATCTGCGCTGCCACGTGACGACTAGAATGGAATATGTGTTTCGCCTGCCCCTCTGCGATGCCGCGTGACGAAAAGCGTTGACATGTATTTGTTTCGCTCCCTGCGTTGCCGAGTGGCGGGCGCAGTGGGGTAAAGTTGTTCTGCCCGCAGGCTTCGCCTCGAGACGAACACCATGAAATAGTATGATGTCCTCTCCTACGTTGCGGCGTGACGTGCAGCGCAGATTTGCAGTTGTTTTGCTCCTTTGCTCTACCACGGAGCGGATATCGTAGAGTAATACGATTTCATGCTCAGGGTTGCAGCTTGTGTTTAGGGTAAGGATTACGAGATAGGGTGTCAGGGCTGAGCATCGAATGTTTGCCTCAGGTTGAATGCTTCTGCTTAGGGTCGGGGTTCTAAGGTCAGCGTGTAAGGGTTTAGGGGGTAGGGTTTCCTCTGGGGGCCTCCTGAGCTAAACCTGGACGCCTGCGAAGACCCCTTGCAGGAGAGCTCAGAATCGAATCGATAGGTCGGATCGGCGATCGAAATGACCTGGATCGGCGGAAATCGGCAGCCGAGTCGGGGGAAGCCGACTCGGCTGACTCGGGGGGAGGCGAGTGAGGCCTCCGTTGAGAAATCGAACTTCAGATCGGAATCCGAAGTCGAAGCGAATCGGGGTCGCAACCAATCGAAATCCCATCGAACCGCCTCGGATGAGTCGAAATGAAACCTGCCGGGGGCACCCTCGCCTCCCCAGGGCTCCTGTGTATTGATCGGGCAGCTGATGGCGGCAGCTGTGGCTCTGTGACTGACGCTGAAGACGTGTGGGCGAAGCGGCACTTGCCGGAAAACGCCCAAGCCGAGGAGCGGAGGAAGGCGGGGGGGACGGAGAGGAAGAAGGGAAGAGTCGAAACGGTACAGTCGCACCCAGGACAGAAGAGCACCCTTGAAGAACAAGCGACAATCCGCAGGCCAAAATGAAGAGCATCCGAGGTACCCTCCCCAGGATGCACAAGAACGTCCAACAAACACGAAGGACATTAGGGTACCCTCCCCGAACCGACCTCGAACCATACCCCCGACGTTGGGTTTGTTCACAGCATCGAACCCCAGAGGTCTGGACCCCGTCCCCGAGACTGGTTCTTTTCGTCCTGAGCCCTTTTTTGACGGCCCCCGGACTCCGAAAATAGCGAATAGACTCCAGTCGTGATTTTCTCACGACGCGAAGGCGTCTGGGTGAGGAGGCAACTACTGGGAGGTCTGCATCGGAAAGTGCAAGGAGGATTAAGTCCCATTTGGGGGTTGCTACTCCGGATTCGGCCGCGGATGAAGCGGGATCGAGCTGGATTTCACGGGATGCAGCCGTATTGAGCGGGATCGAGCCAGCTTGAGAGGATTCCAGACTGGGGCAACGTCAGAAGTTGACCTCCCAAGAGTTGCAACCGGGGTAGCCCAGCTTATCGGGTGTGGGGTGGGGGGGGCAAGGCAAGGCAAGGCAAGGCGCCGATGTTCGCCCCGGGGGGAGGGGGGGCGGCCCTATAAGAGCTCGGCGGGGGTGCCATAGCGCCGAAACTCCGATGTGGTAGTACGCGATTCCTTCAGAATCTAAAAATTTAACTCATTGGCTCCATTGACTCAATGCTTCCCAACAGTTTGATACTGGAACGTTGGGGGAAGGTAGGGGAGGTGGCGGCCAGGGACCGAACCGTCTGGCGCTGGGCTGGAAACAACGCATGCCCGCGCGCAAAGGCATACGGCGCACCCCCTTCGCACCTTAGCGCAACCGACAAGGTCAGGTCAGTTGCGGGGAGGGGGGGGGGGGGGCGGGCGGGCCCGATGATCCGGGTTACAGTAGGAGCTCGACCACAAGAAACTTTCCACAAGAAACCCAACCCTGAGACCCCGGGACGTCCATTGATCTTTGGTGTGAGAGCGTCACGGCTTCCATAACAAAACAATCGAAACCCAAGAAACTCCGGGCACCCTGGAGGCAAGAAGGGTGTTTCTTGGAATGGGGTTCCACTGTATCGCTGGATCACTTCTAACACAGCCTGAAACGCCGACCAAGGCATCCCGAGACTTCCCTCAGAGCCGACGCTCCGAAAAAGCCGCGGCCTCGCCAAGAGCCGCATCCTGGGGACCCAGACCCCTTTTCTGCTCCTGCACCTCTCGAGCCGGATCGATCCGCAGTGGTCCCCAGGGCCCGAAAATCCAGGCGGAGACGCACCGCGCGAATCAATTGCAACGCCCAGCAGAGGAGGAGGAGGAGGAGGAGGAGGTGGAGGAGGAGGAGGAGGAGGAGGGGGAGGAGGAGGAGGAGGAGGAGGAGGAGGAGGAGGAGGAGGAGAAAAGAAGGAGGAGGAGGAGGATGAAGAGGAGGAGGAGGAGCAGGAGGACGGGTCGCCCAAGCCCTTCGGAGAAACCCTCTGGGCGGCGGACCACCTCGAGGTCTGCCAGGTCGTCCGCCTGCCCGCGCTGGTGCCGGGCCGCCGAGGCCGTCGCCTGGCTGAGCTCCTCGCGCACGCGCCGCAGCTCTGCCGCCAGCGCCACCGACTGCCTCCGGCGGCGCGCCAAGGGGGGGGGGCGCGCGGGGACCTGGCCTTCTAAGGAGGAGGAGGAGGAGGAGGAGGAGGAGGAGGAGGACGAGGAGGAGGAGGAGGGAGGAGGAGGAGGAGGACGAGGAGGAGGAGGGGGAGGAGGAGGAGGAGGAGGAGGAGGAGGAGGAGGAGAGGAGGAGGAGAGGAGGAGGAGGAGGAAGAGGAGGAGGGGGAGGAGGAGGAGGAGGAAGAAGAGGAGGAGGAGGAGGGGAGGAGGAGGGGGAGGAGGAGGAGGAGGAGGAGGGCCAGGAGGAGGAGAGAGGAGGAGGCGGAGGAGGAGGAGGGGTGGGGAGAGGGGGAGGGAGGAGGAGGAGAGGAGGAGGAGGAGGAGGAGGAGGAGGAGGAGAGGAGGAGGAGGAGGAGAGGAGGAGGAGGAGGAGGAGGAGGAGGCGGAGAGGAGGAGGAGGAGGAGGAGGAGGAGGAGGAGGAGGCGAGGAGGAGGAGGGGGAGGAGGAGGAGGAGGAGGCGGAGGAGGAGGAGGAGGAGGAGGAGGAGGCGGAGGAGGAGGAGGAGAAGGAGGAGGAGGAGGAGGGGGATCTGGAGGAGGAGGCAGCGCGCTGCTTCCACTAGAAGTATCCTGGCAAGCGGCCAGAATAGCAGCAGAGGTGAAGAAGCCGGTCGAGGAGCAGGCGGTGGGCCAGTGAGAGCACGGCCATGTGCACCGTTGCGTGTGGTTGTCCGAGGGTTCTCGTCCTGGATAAAGCACTGCGGTCGCGTCTCCTCCTTCTCTTCTTCCTCCTCCTCTTCTTCCGCCTCCTCCTCCTCCTCCCCCGCCGCCTCCGCCTCCTCCTCTTCCTCCTCCCTCGTGATGCCTCCTGCCTCCACGACTACCTTCATCCTACTTTTCCCGATCGGGGCTGCGAACTATGCAACAGTCGACAGTTTCGTGGGCTCTTGGGAGGTCCACTGGAGGCGGTAATTAGTCAGACGAGACCTGGCGGCTCCCTGGGAGGCTGCCAACAGGGCATCTGTCGACACGTTCGTGGGCTCCTGGGAGGTCCAGCGGAGGCGGTAGTCGGGCGGGACGTCGCGGCTCCCAGGGAGGCGGACAAGTGCGCAACTGTCGCGACGTTCGTGGGCTCCTGGGAGGGCGAGCCTCTGTGGCGGGCTTCTCGGAGGTCTTGCATATCTCGCAACGCGTTTTTCAATGGAGCGGTCATATGAATAGTCGCCTGGCATTGCAGTCACCCCGTACTTATAAGGATGCGCGACGACAAGGATTTGGACGCCCATTTCGAAGCTTTTCGAGCGCGGCGCGGCCAACGAAAGTTGCCAAGGACAGACCGAGGAGGCAAGGATATGCAAGGGTGCCCTTGGGCAGGTTGCCCATCCTTGTCGTGCGGGTTGACTGTGAGAAGGGCTTGGGCACGTGCCGGGTAACTGGCAAGGGGGCGTGGCCGTCTGGGCCTAAGATGCAGCCGACACTGAAGCGAGAGAACGATTGCTCAAGAAGTTGTCCGCAGATCTGGAGCCAAATGGCTGGGGGACCGGGCGATCTCTGGGGGGCGGCCTTGGGCTCCCCGGCCCTCCCGGTGGGAATTGTCTGCGGCTCCCTTTCGCACCTCAGCCACAGAACCCGCCCGCGACCCGAGGACCGACAAAAAGGGCACCTCGCTGATCGACCTGGCAGGGCGGGGGCTCTCTCCACCGCCGGTGCCTCCGTGGGAGGCCCCCGGCCCAGACCCCCGACGTTGCGATTTGTTTGCGGCGTCGACCCCAGGAGGTCTGCACCCCTTCCCTGGGACCGGTGTTCCATCCTGAGTCGTTTTTTGGGCGGTCCCGAGGCCTAGTCAAGAGCCCCCAGCGGCAAGAAATAGCGAAAAAACTCCCGTCGTGATTGCTGTCACAACGCGAGGAGGTCTGGGCCCCTCGCCTCGCCCCACCCCCCTCGAGTGCACGCCGCCCACGCCTGGCCGCCACCTCGGCCGAGCCTGCTCGAGGGAGCTCCGGCCCTGGCGCGACGCCCGCCCGCTCGCGCGCGAGCTGCTGCGCGATCTCGGCGCAGGCGGTGTCGGCCGCCGCTGCGGCGGCCTCCGCCAGGCAGAGCCGTGCCTGCGTGGCCGCAGCGGCCTCCGCCTCGGAGGTCTCCCAGAGGGATCGGCCGCCGCGCCGGTGGCCTTCGTCGGCGGCGGCCTCCCCGGAGGCGTCCGCCGACGGCAGCCGGCCCTTGGCCGCGGCGAGCTCGTCCACCAGCCGGTCGCTCCTGGACCGGAGCACCGTCAGCTTGTGCCGGAGCCCCGACGCGTCGATGGCGCGCAGCCGAGCCGTGGTCGCGGCCTCTCGGTACCTCCGGCGAGCCTCGTCGAGCTCGGTGATCACGTCGTGCCTTTGGGACTCGATCATGGCGTAGGCGACCGTGGCACGGACCGCCTGCGCGCTTCCCGCGGACTCCCCGCCCACGCCCTGCCGCGCACGCTGCAGCGCCCGCCTCGCCTCGTCCATCTCGCCCTCGAGCTGCGCGTGGCGCGCCTCCAGGCGGGCGGAGTCCTGGGCCTGGGCCGCCTGGATCTCGCTCAGGGCGGACGAGCACTCCCGCGCCACGGACTGCTCCTCCACCTCCATGCGCCTCGTGCCCTCCGTCGCGGCCACCAGGTCACAGACGAAGGCCTCGGCTCTGCCGAGGGAGACGCCCACGCGCGTCTGCTCCTGCTCGAAGGCCTCCCGGAGCATCGCCGCCCGCAGCTGCTCCGTCTTGGCCTTCCTGGACAGGTCCTCGCGCTCCTGCAGCTCTCGCTGGAGCTTGCCCTGCGCCTCGTCGCGGCGTCGCAGCGCCTCGGCGGCTCGCTGCGCCTGCGAGGCGCAATCCGCGCGCAGGGCCGCGATCTCCGCCCGCTGCCGCTCCGCCACGCCCGCGCCGAAGCGGGCCCGGTCGAGGCACCTGTCCAGCTCCGACTGCAGAGACACGGCGCGCACCCGCTGCATGCTGAGGCCGCGGCGCGCCAGCGCAAGACCCTCTGCGGCGTCGCCCGCGGGGCCGCTGCTGGGCGACCCGCGCTCCAGCTGCGCGCGGATCGCCTCCGCCCTCAGCACCAGCCGGTCGTACGCCGCGGTGGCGGCGCACAGGGCGCCCTGCAGGTGCGCGTTGGCAGACTCGAGCGCGGCTCGCGTGGGCCGCATCGGCGACGCGGCCTCAGCCGCTGCCGCCGCGCCGCCGCGGGAAGCGCCCTCAAGGTCGCACCCGAGGGCCATCCAACCCATCTCGCGCACCGGCACGGGATCGACCATCCTTGGGAGAACGACAAGTATAGACCGCTACTCCACGGACCTTCCATGGGGGGCGTCCTGACGAGGATCTCGAGGCGAATCCAGCCGTGGTGACGATGCCGGGACAGCAAGCGACCACAACCAAGTTCAGGACACGCCCTCGTCGATATCGTTCAGGCATGCTGCAATCGTCAGAACACCGAAACCAGCTTAGTTTTGATAGTGGTCGATGTGAGCGTCCAGGACGGCCAAATCAACCACAGAAGTAACCAACGTGTTCAGGTCGGTGGGCCCCCCCCGAGGATCCCTGCCGATAAATCCACTTGTTTGTGGTTGTGGTTCCCTGCTGTACCCAGAGACGAGAGACGGGCAGCAGCATCGGTATCCCCAAAAGCCTGACGTCGTGTTTGTTCCATGACGTGGACCCCCTGCCCCCTTCCCAGGAACCGGCGCCTCCTGCTGAGCAACCTGTTACCCGTCGGTCGGGAGAAGTGGGCAGAAACATGCTGTAGCAAGGCGCTGGAGGTAGATTGGGCCCCCGCCCGCCCCCTGAGGTGGAGGGAGAAGGGAAATCCGCTCGACACTTGAAGTAGGAAGGCGGCTAAAATAGATTGGGGTCTGGGAATGCCACAGTACCCTTAGGTCGGGCGTGTCCCCCTACAGGGGGATCTTGGATGCAAAGACTCAAAATAAACAACAAATATTCAAATTACTATACAATGCTAGAAACATCGTCCCCGGACTATTTAGTTTGACTATACTCCTCCTGTAGAGGGACAGGCCCGACTTAACAGCACCTCCCTGCAACGACCAGCGCACACAACGGCCCGAATGCCCGAGGGCCCGGGAAGAGGGCCGCCGACGGCGGAAAAAACAGCGAAACCTTCGGTGGCAACTCGCGGGAGTCTTCCACACAGTGGAGGCCCCACCAGAAGAGACCTTCCACAAGAAACCTTCTCAGTGCGCTGATGTTTTTTTTTTTTTTTCTCTCTCTCTCTCTCTCTTTCTCTCTCTTTCTCTCTCTCTCTATCCCGCCGACGCGCGTCCTCGCCGAACTGGAGCTCCAATGCCCCAATAGCAGCAACGGTGACTTGTGGGACACGTGGGTCAAGTGGGCACCGTGGGACACTCGTGCGATCTGTGGGACACGTGCGGATACGGCGGCACTCCCGTGGCTTGTGGGACGTGTTGGACGCACAGTGGAGGCCCGACCACAAGAGACCTTCCACAAGAAACCCAGCCCTGAGACCCCAGGGCGTCCCTCTATGTCTGCCGTGGGGACGTCGCGCTTTCCATCGCAAAACCATCGAGACCCAAGAAACCAAGGGCACCCTGGAGGCAAGCAGGGTGTTTCTTGACATGGGCCCCCACTGTATAATCTCGCCGGCTCTTGCGAATCGACGCTGATCGACGGCAAATCGACGCGAAACGACGCTAGATCGACGATAGATCGACGCTAGATCGACGCTAGATCGGCGCTGCCTCCTCCACTCCTGGGACGCTGGTCGACGCCAAAAACAAAATTGAGAGGCTACGAACCAGGCTCCCAGACTGAGCTGCCGAGGAGAGCCCTCCTGCCGAGACGTTTCCGGACGCGGGGGAGGGTCTGGGGCCCTCTCATAGGAGAACGAAGAAAGACATAGCAACAAAAACTCGGAGGTCCACGCGGATTTCTCGTATCGGCGCTGGACCCCCCTCCCTGGCGCGCGGAGCGCGACAGGGGCGGCGCCGGAGGCGCCGCCAGGGGGTGCCCAGCGCGGATTCGAGAAATCCGCGCGGACCTCAGAGTTTTTATGTTTATGTCATTCTTCGTTCCCCTGCTCACCTCTGCGTCGACCCCTGAAGGTCTCGACCCATTCCCCTGGACCCGCTTTTCGTCCTGAGTCGTTCTTTGACGGTCTCGAGGGCTGGTAAGGACCCCCTGAGGCCGAAAATAGCCAAACACTTCCCGCCACAATTTTGCCATTACCCGAGGGGGCCTAGGATCCTCTCCTCCTCCGGGTCCTGGCGCCCTTCGGCAGCGCGGGCGCACCATGGGACACCGCCGCATGGGGCGACGCGGCCCCGAACTCCAGCCGCAGCGGCGCGCCCCCGGGCGTGCCGCTCGGCCGCGGCGGGGGCGAGGAGCCCGCGAACGCGGCGCAGAACGCGGCGAAAGCCTCCTCGCATCGCTCAACCGGTCCCTCTCCCCCAGTGGTCACCCTCCTCCTCCTCCTCCTCCCACTCCTCTCTCCTCCTCCTCCTCCTCCTCCTCCTCCTCCTCGCCCTCCTCCCCTCCTCCTCTCCTCCTCTCTCCCTCCTCGCCATCCTCCTCCTCCTCCTCCCCTCCTCCTCCTCCTCCTCGCCATCCTCCTCCTCCAACGCCCCAGCGGGATAGGTTGCTGGGGCGACACTGGCCTACGAGGTTCTTGCCTCGCCCGCTGACACAAACTGGCGGCGAGGCCGGAGGTCCTGCACACCTCGCGGTCTTTGTCTCGGTGAAGTCACGCTCCCCTTGAGGTAGGACTCCGCCCCAAACGCGGGCTTCAGATGGCCCTCTCGACTGCAGGGGCTGGCCGTCTTGTTTACGTTCGCGTTTCTGCACACCTCCCCCACCTACGAGGCACGCGCACCCTGGGCACAGACTGGCGGCTGCGCCAGAGGTCTCGCTTCCATGCGATTCGGTGGCGGTTCTGCCCTCGGGGACGCAGCCCGGCGGCAATGCCGGCGGTCCTGCACGCCTACCCCACCTACGCGGCAAGAGTTTTCTGGACACACCTTGGCGGCTATGCCAGCGGTCTTTTGTACTTTCGACACGTCGGAGGGTCTGCCCTCCGGGCGACAATGCCAGCGGTCCTGCACACCCACGCCACCCATGAGGCAGGCGCCTCTTGGACGCAGCATGGCGGAAATGCCCGTGGTCTTGCTTTTGTTTTGTTTGAATGTTTGGGTACGTCGGAGGTTCTGTCCTCCGGAACGGAGGTTCTGTCCTCCGGAACGCAGCCCGGCAGCAATGCTGGCGGTCCTGCACACCTACCCCACCTACGAGGCGAGCGCCTCATAGAATCAGACTGGCGGCAATGCAAGCGGTTCTTTTCTTTCGACATGTCGGAGGTTCTGCCCTCCGGGAAATGCAGGTGGTCTTGCACACTTCCCTCACCAACGAGGCAAGCGCCTTCTGAGCACAGCCTGGCGGAAATGCCACCGGTCTTGTCTCGGATGTTTTGCCCTCGAGGACACAAGCCGGCGGCAATGCCGGCGGTCCTGCACGCTTAACCGCCCTACGAGGCCAACGCCTACTGGACACAGACTGACGGAATTGCCAAGGGTCTTGCTTTCGTTGGGAATTCTGTGATCGGGGACACAGCTCGGCGGCAATGCCGGCGGTCCTGCACACCCACCCTACCCACGAGGCATGCCTCTCTTGGACACAGCCTGTTGTTTTCATTCGATTCGTCGGAGTTTCTGCCCTCTGGGACATAGCCTGGCGGCAATGCCGGCGGTCCTGCACGCCTACCCCACCTACGAGGACAGCGCCTAGTGGACACACACTGGCGGAATTGGCAAGGATCTCGTCGTCTTATATTCACTCGCTTCGTTGGAAATTCTGCTATCGGGGACACAGCTCGGCGGCAATGCAGGCGGTCCTGCGCACCTACCCCACCTACGTGGCAAGCGCTTTCTGGGCAAAGCCTGGCGGAAACGCTTGTGTTCTCGCTCACTCACGACAAGTCGGAGGTTTTGTCCTCCGGGGCATGGCCAGGCGGAAATGCTGCTGGTCCTGCACATCTACCCGTCCCACGAGACATGCATGTCTTGGACGCAAGCTGTTGTTTCCATTCGATTCGTCGGAGGATTTGTCCTCCGGGGCACAGCCCAGCGGAAATGCTGGCGGTCCTGCTCACCTACCCCACCCACAGAACATGCGTCTCTCGGACACAGTCTGTTGTCTTCATTCGATTCGTCGGCTGTTTCAACCTCCCGGACATAGCCTGGCGGCAATGCCGGCGGTCCTGCACATCGAGCCCACTCACGAGACATGCGTCTCTCGGACACAGTCTGTTGTCTTCATTCGATTCGTCGGCTGTTTTAACCTCCGGGACATAGCCTGGCGGCAATACTGGCGGTCCTGCACGCTGACCCCACCTACGAGACAAGCGCTTCCTGACACAGACTGACGGTAATGCCAGAGGTCTCGTCTTCATTCGTATTCGCCATTGTCTGCACCCTCATGAACTTCCCTTCTCTTCTCCGTCACCACTCCCCTGCCGTGCCTTCTCTTGCACCGCTCGCCCCTTCCTTCCCCCTCTCATCGGCTGACTCCCCCGCTCACACCCTTTCGCCTTTGAACGCTGTTGTCTACTGCTATCCTTTGTCTCCGCGTCTGCCTCGGTTCTGAACCTCGTCTCGGCCGCGTGGCCGTTAGACCTCGGGAGTGGGGCTGCCTTGGACTCGGACAGGGTCATAACTGGGTACGTCCACTATCCTGGGCCCCCATCCAGGGACCCAGGACGCGACCGTTTAGGTTGCCACAGGGCTCCCCAACACCGATCGGCCGGTGTCACCCTCGGGAGGCGACTACCTCTACCTCCGTCATCGTCCGCACAGGCTCCGCTGGCATCCCATGAGGACCGTAGTGTGGGAAACGTTTTCCAGTCTCTTCAATCACTTTAAGACCGAGCTATGTTTGCCCCCCCCCCCCCCCTGTGGGGAGGACAAACCGTGCCCCCCCTGGGAACGCCATTGGGGCTTGAAATCGGTTTGGTGCACTCTGACGGCACCAACGTTGACACAACATGGGGCTCACATTTACACTCATTGTTCACACACATCACGTTTGGACTGTTTGTCGTCCCCTCATGCTCGCTGGTACGTCTGCCCCACAAGCGTTGACTCCCCTGTTACGGGGCTACGAGGCAGAGGTGGCTGCCACAGGATATGCGATACACGCATATCACAAACCAGTGCCAAGTGCCAGCATCGGAACCTCGTCTTGGCCGCGTGGCCTTTAGACCTCGGGAGTGGGGCTGCCCTGGACTCGGACGGGGACATGACTGGGTACGTCCACTATCCTAGGCTTCCATCCAGGGACCCAGGAGGCGACCGTTTAGGTTGCCACAGGGTTCCTCAACACCGACCCGCCGTTGTCATAATTGGAAGGCGGCCACCTATGCCTCGGACAGCTTCCACACAACCTCCGCCGGCATCCCATGAGGACTGAAGTGCCGGAAACGTTTTCGGGTCACTTGAAGACCAAGCTATGTTTGCGCCCCCCCTGCGGGGAGGACTAACCGCGCCCCTCCTGGGAACGCACATTGGTGCTTGAATTCGGTTTGGTACACTCTGACGGCACCAATGTTGACACAACATGGAGGTCACATGTACACACATTGCTGTCACACATCATGCTCGGGTCCATCATTCGTCGTCCCCTCATAATGGGACGTCTGACCCACATGCGTTGACCCCCCCGGTCACGGCGCTACGAGGCAGAGGTGGTTGCCACATGATAACCAGGTGACAACATCGAGCACCTATTTCAATGGTGGGGTGGGAGATCCCAAGTGTCCCATCCGATTCAAACGGGTTATGCCTACCTTTAAGGGCATCAGCACTACACTGCAATCCTCCTCCTCCTCCTTCTCCTCCTCCTCCTCCTCTTCCTCCTCCTCCTCCTCCACCTCCTCCTCCTCCTCCTCCTCCTCCTTCTTCTCCTCCTCCCCCTCCTCCTCCTCCTCCTCCTCCTCCTCCTCCTCCTCGCTCAACCGGTCCCTCTCCCCATCTGGGCGACGAAAACAAAAGAGGCTTACGCGAGATGGCATGGCGACCTTACGCGGCGGCTTGCGCGGGCCGCCAGCGCGGCAGACTACACTGGAAGCGAGGGAGCTCACGCGCGACCTTGCGCGGGCAGCTTACGCGCGAATGTCGGTGCAGTCGAACCTGTCTTCCTGCGTCGCTCACATGACTACCTTCCAGACCACCCCAACCGAACCCGAGGACCCAAATTTGGGGTTGGGGGGTACGGGTTCCACATGTTTCGGTCCCCCCCTGTGGGAATGGAGGGCAAATTGGGGCCTTCGGACTGGGTTCGGGTGTTTTGATGCGTGGTGACCACCGGCGTGGCCTGGGGCCCACTGGCCGATCTACCCCCCTGGATGGGGATACGGGCTGTCCCCTTCGCGTTTCAAGGGTTGCATATCCCCAACTGGGATGGTGGGGAGGTGGGGATCCCCCCTGGATGGGGATAGAGGCTGTTCCCGATCAGTTACGAGGGGCGTATCCCCAACTGGGATGGTGGAATGGTGGGGATCGGGATCGGGATGGGGATGGGGATCTGCCAGACGATGATGATCCTCCACCGTCAGCGCCGCGGGCACCGAGGCCAGCGCGCTGCCGATGGCGGCCTCGACCTCGGCGGCGCCCCCCGCAGAGCCCTCCGCTCCTGGCGGCAGCGTCCGCGCCCACTCGCGCCCTACGCGCTGCAGCGCCTCGCGCGCGTCCGCGCCCACCTGCGGCGGCCACTCACGGGAGCCTCCCATGCCTTGGGAGACAAGGGGGAGTCCTCGTCGGAAGAATGAAGCAGGATTACGCCCCCTTGAGGGGGGGCTGATACGCCGGATCAGGCCGCAGATTCAGCGGGAGTCGGCGGGATTGAGCCAGATTCAGACGAATTCCAACAGACTTGACCGGAGGTAGCCGGATTTCGGACCAAGGCAAAATCAGTATTTAACCTCCCAAGAGTTGCATCCGAACATACCGTCTTGTTGGCTCTTACAAATCGGCGCTGGTCGGCGCCCATGTGACGCTACATCGATGCGACTAATCGACGCCAGCCGCTGCCAATCGACGCCAAATCGGCGCTGCCTCATCGACTCCCAAATGCAAGGCGGATTCACGAGGGTATACGAGGCTCCCCCGATTTCGGGTTGACCCAGACGGGGGTCCACCGACAAGGGGGTGGTGCAATAGATTTGGTGCTCGGATTATGGGGTTGCGAAACAGTTGGGGCGTGCGATACATTCCGAGGCGCACAAATTACTTGCTGGATTGTTTCGCGTGCAGCACATTGCTTGCAGTACAATGAAATACAGCTCCCTGGCGCAATACCTTTGCAACCCAATTGCCCCAAATCTATGGCACCACCCTCTTTCAGCTGGACCCTCTTCTAGGTCACCCAAACTGATGGCCAAGTTTTCCACCACCACTACCATGTGCAGGACGGGGGAGAAGGGAGGATCAGGAGGTCCTCCTCCTCCTCCTCCCCCTCCCCCTCCCCCTCCTCCTCCTCCTCCTCCTCCTCCTCCTCCTCCTCCTCCTCCTCCTCCTCCTCCTCCTCCTCCTCCTCCTCCTCCTCCTCCTCCTCCTCCTCCTCCTCCTCCTCCTCCCTCTCCTACCACATGTTAGTGGTGGTACAAGAGGGGCCCATCACAAATGATTTGCCACCGAACCCACCCGCTGCCACGGCACGTGCAGCTCCCAAAGGCGCGCGAACTCCTCGCGCGAGCGCGCGAGCTCCTCCGCTGGCAGGGCGGCGCCGCGGTGGCCCGGGGCGCGCTGGTGGGCCGGCGGCGGGAGCGGGAGGGCGAGCGGGGCCTCGGGTGCGGGCGGCTCCCGCACGCCGTCCTCTTCACGGGTGGGGCGAAGAGGATGACGGACAAGTTTTCCACCACCACTGCCATGTGCAGGACGGGAGAGACGGGAGGGTGAAGAGGTCCTCCTCCTCCTCCTCCTCCTCCTCCTCCTCCTCCTCTCTCCTCCTCCCTCCTCCTCCTCCTCCTCCTCCCTCCTCCTCCTCCTCCTCCTCCTCCTCCTCCTCCTCCTCCTCCTCCTCCTCCTCCTCCTCCTCCTCCTCCTCCTCCTCCTCCTCCTCCTCCTCCTCCTCCTCCTCCTCCTCCTCCTCCCTCTCCTACCTATCAGAGAAGCACCTGAGCACAACGTCCGGACGTTCTGGGGGCCGCTTCTCGGCCAACGTCGTAGGCCTCAGGAGCCAACTCACGGAAGCTTCGGGTCGTCCCCACGGCGCCCTCTAGCGCGTCCAATACCGCGCAGAGCGGACGTCATGCATCTCCCTGGTAAGGCGCCAGTGGGTGCTGTTGGGCGCCACTACTCGGCGCTGTCTGAACACTATTCGGCGCTACTGGGCGCTACTTGCCGCTACTTGGCGCTGCGGGGCGCTATTGGATGCTACTCGTTGGTGTGTATATATATATATACATACATACATATACACATATGGATACAAGACTGCAGTGGCGCTTCGCGCCGTGCACCTTGGTCTTTGAAGTTTGCTACGCCTGCGGAATAGCAGGAAGGCCAGGCCGACAATTTAGCGATAACTCCTGGTTGCCTTTTTCCCGCATCGCCGCTATGATAATGTTACTCGTTATCCTTCCTCCATGCTTCTTTTTTTCTCATTTTCGCCATACCCTGCGCATTCTCCCCATCCTCCTCAGCTCTTTTTTTGCGGAGGCTCCTCCTTGGAGAGCCTCTAGGGGCCTCACAAAAGTTGTTGCATGCTTTCTTAAGGCCTTCTGGAGGCCTCCTGGGCGTATTCTGGGGGCCTCCGGGGGCTTCCTCGGGCCACCCAACCTCCAACCTCGGTCTCCTGAAGGTCCGAATCATGATTTGGAATTCTTCGGAAGGTGTCGTTGGGCCATCTTGGGCCGCCATGGGGCTCTCCGAGGGCCATCGTGGACCCGTGTTGTGGCCACGATCCTCGTGAGGGGTGTGCCGAAATGGCCCGAGGCCGCCATGCGAACCCTGCCACTGGGGTCTTCGGTGGAGCTCCCTATGGGGCCACGATCCTCGTGAGGGGTGTGCCGAAATGGCCCGAGGCCGCCATGCGAACCCTGCCACTGGCGCCTTCGGTGGAGCTCCCTATGGGGCCACGATCCTCGTGAGGGGTGTGCCGAAATGGCCCGAGGCCGCCATACGATCCCTGCGACTGGCGCCTTCGGTGGAGCTCCCTGATGGGGCCACGATCCTCGAGAGGGGTGTGCCGAAATGGCCCGAGGCCGCCATGCGAACCCTGCCAGTGGAGCCTTCGGTGGAGCTCCCTATGGAGCCACGATCCTCGAGAGGGGTGTGCCGAAATGGCCCGAGGCCCCCATGCGAACCCTGCCACTGGAGCCTTCGGTGGGGCTCCCTATGGGGCCACGATCCTCATGAGGGGTGGGCCGAAATGGCCCGAGGCCGCCGTGCGAAACCTGCCACTGGGGCCTTCGGGGGAGCTCCCTATGGGGCCACGAAACGATGCACTGGGTGGGTGAAACGCAGGGAGGAGGGAGGAGGAGGAGGAGAGGAGGAGAGGAGACGCGGGCCACCGTCTCTTCAAAACGAGGACCCAACACCACCGGATGGTTGGGAAAAACATACAAAAAAGTCAATGATTTTTGCCTCGGGGGGCCTTCTTGGGAGTGCTCTTGAAGGCCTCTTTGGGGCCGTCCTGGAGGCCTCTTGGACCGTCTTGAGGTCACGTCGGTCACTCTTGGAGCGCTCTTGTGCTGTCTTGGGGGTCTCTGGGACGTCTCCGATGACCCCCCTGAACGCCCTGCGAAGCCCGGTGGCCGCTTCGAGGCCCGTCCGGAGGGTCCCAAAGCCCCAGATCCCGGGAGTTCAATTTTTTGGGGGGGACGGGTTTTCCCCCGCCCGGGCTTATAAAAAATATAGGAAGAGGAATATACATATACATATACAATGCAAGACGAACGGAATCATCCGCGACTTACAGCCGAAAACATGATTAAGTAAATCATCATGCAACAAACACCTGGGCCAACTTCTCAGAAGTTGCTCGACACACGCGTGGCCCAAGTTCCGCTGTTGACGCACTGAGGGGCGAACGTGCTCAAGAAAACGGGCCAGCGTTCCACCGAGCTGGTCCAGAAACGCGGGCCGAACTTTTCGGGCGGACGTTTCTCAAGCAGATGCTCGGCTGTAGTTACGCCAGGAACATACATACATACATAGATATATGTGTGTATAAATATATGCATATATCAGAACACCCTCCAACGGATTGTGCATGTACCTCCCCGTGTATCAAATCGCTGGCTCCCAATCGTTATTCACACACCGCTGAGGGCCAGGAACAAGCCAGTGGAGCGTGTCTGTGTATGCTTTCGGTGGCGGGGCACTATCTGCCAAGCCCCCTCCCCTCCCCAGCAGCGCGCCTCGCCGAGGGCGCCGCCTCTCAGGCGGCGCGGGGAGGGGGCCCGAGGCCCGCGGAGCGACCGCCCGGGGACCTCCGAGGCGTGCGCTTGCAGCCCAGGCGCTTGGACGAGGACAGCTTGTTCGGTGGCAGCTCACGGGAGCCTCCCATAGCGTCTCGTCGGCTCTTGCGAAGCGACGCTCGTCGACGCTACTTCGACGCTAGATCGAAGCTAAATCGATGCTAATCGACGCTGGCTGTCTAGTCGACGCTGCATCGACGCTAATCGACGCGAAACCGACGCTAGTCGACGCTAGCTGGCGCTGAACTGGCGCTATCTCATCGACTCCCAGACGCCCATCGGCACCAAACCCCGACCTTCGACGTCATGATTTTTGTCATTACGTCGACCCCTGGAGGTCTCGACTCATTCCCCTGGACCGGCTTTTCATCCTGAGTCGTTTCTTGACGGTCTCGAGGGCCGGTACGGGCCCCCAGAGGCAGAAAATAGCAACAAAAACACCCGTCATGATTTGTTCATGACCCGAGGGGGGTCCGGGAACGACGCTAAAGACGGAGTCAAGTGGGTACACCGGGCTCCCGTTACTTGCTACTGCAAGCTCTGGCTTCCGAACGGGGCCGGGGCCCCTCGGCCGGTCGCCCCCCCCGCGCTCTGCGGGCGTGTTTCGATCATCCCCAGAACGTGTGTCAACGCTGACGTGTTTTTGCCCTTCGTTAAGTCTAGAAGGCCAGAGAATCACCCCCCATAATAGTCACCCCGACAAGCGAAGCCGTTTAGTAAACGCACCCAAGGAAGGAATCGAACAGGGCAGGGCTGTTTAGTAAACGCCCAGGGCCGTTTAGTAAACGTGAACTGTCTGGTCCGGGTGGTTTTTACTCCCTTGAAGCTTGCACGTTGTGTAAGCGCACATCTGCGCGCGGCACAGAGCGTCTCGGCATGCTGGTGGATCGCAGGGGCCGCGCGCGAAGTGAAATGCGGAGTGCCCGGCTGACTCAGACTGGATGGCCTCGAGGAACACGTGCACCTCGTGCGCCGCGGGAGCCAAGCTCTGCCACAGGCCGCGCAGATGACTGACGGAGCTGCGCGGAAAACTTTTGTCGGGCGCCTTTGTGCGGAGCTCCCGGGCGGCCTTCCGTCGCCAGCGGGACCAGTGCGCTCCAGCGGCGGCGCCTCGCCGGGAGCGCTCCGGGGGCGCCCCGGGTCGCCCCGAAGAGCCACGGGAGAGCCGGGTCACGTTCGGAGGCTTCGTGCGGAGCCATGTTGGGCGGCGTGCCGCCGCCCTCGAGGGATGCGCTCCAGCGGCTGCGCCTCGCCGGGAGCGCTCCGGGGGTGCCCGGGGTCGCCCCGAAGGGTCACGGGAGAGCCGGGCTAGAATTTCCCAAGAAAGCAAATCCGGCGGCGCGCCCGGGGCCGTGGCATGCGCCAACAAGAGGCCAATAAGGCTGCGGGCGAAGTAGGTAGAAACATGAAGCAGGAAGGCGTTGGAAGTACATTGGGCTTCCGTGGGGGAAGTGGCATCTTGACTACAGAAAGTGGAGTCGCATGGGGATCGGGCCTAAGCGGCGGGAGAGGTAAGTTTTGGTAAGAAATGTTGCCACTGACGCACTCGCTGTTGTATTTGTTTCAGTATCTGCGCCATCCTGGTAGCAGCAGGTGGTCGTTTGAAAAGCGGCAGGACTATCAGAGTGACGGGACCGAACGGTCACTTTCTGTCCCTGGGTGAGTGGCTGAAGTGAGGCTGTGCAGTGTGGATTGCTGTTATTGTTGTTGTCTGTCGTGGCGCAATCCCCCCACGACCCAGCCCGCGACCCAAGCCGCGACCCAGCCCGCGACCCGCCCGCGACCCGCCCGCGACCCACCCGCGACCCGGCCCGCGACCCACCTGCGTCCCACCCGCGACCCGCCCGCGACCCGCCCGCGACCCTCGCGCGACCCACCCGCGACCGACCCGCGACCCACCCGCGACCCACCAGCGACCCACTCGCGACTCGCCCGCGACCCACCCGCGACCCACCCGCGACCCCCCCGCGACCCACCCCGCGCCCTAGCCACGTTGCTGTAACGAAAAAAAGACGCCTGCGGCAGGCTTCTTCAGAGCCTCGCAGACTGCCGACGTCTTCGCCGCCCCCTCACTCTGACCGCAACTGCGGGATGCTACGTATGATGTCGGCGGCGGTGTAGCTGACTGCATAGTGCCAGGCTGCCAGCTTTCCTCGGAGTGCCTTCTTTGCTCTAGCTGCTGCTGAATCCAGCCGTAGTGCAGGTGGTCGGTGTCGATATCGGTCTGTATTTGTGTAAGGAGCTTTGGTGGTCTGTAGACAAAGTTCGTGCCTCGTGGGTATGGTATGCGCATTGTAGGCGGGGCCTTAATTGAGCCGCTGGTCCTGAACACGGGTCGCATGTGTCGGCGTGGATGTAAGTTGACCACGGGTATGGGCGTGAGCCCTCCGATGATTTATGGCCAGGCAGTATTGCAAGGTAATGGCGATAAGAGTTCGTAGTCCTCCTGCTCCTCATCATCCACCTCCTCCCCCCCCTCTTCCTCCACATCCTCCTCCTCCTCCTCCTCCTCCTCCTCCTCATCATCATCATCATCATCATCATCATCATCATCATCATCATCTTCATCATCATCATCATCATCATCATCACCACCACCACCACCACCATCATCATCATCAGCCCGCTCTGGCCGCGCCGGCTGCTCTCCTCCCCCCGTTGCCTCTTCGCGCCCCCTTCGTCGTTCCCCCCCATCTGCCGTCGCCCGAGGACCTGACGCGTGCGCTTGCAGGGCTGGCAGAAGCAGAGACAGGAGCAGTGCCCGTACGGCGTGGCGAGGAGAGGAAGAACAAGGAGGAGGAGGAGGAGGAGAAGGATGGAGAAGGGAGGAGAAGGGAGGAGAGAGAATAGAGGAACAACAGAGGCAACAACGTAAACTTTCGGGGTCGGCGCGGATTTCTTGAATCGGCGCTGGGCCCCCCCTCCCTGGCGCGCGGAGCGCGCCAGGGGCGGCGCCGGAGGTGCCGCCAGGGGGTTCCAGCGCCGATCAAAGAAATCCGCACGGACCTCCGAAAGTTGATGTTTATGCCGTTGTTGGTTGTTCGAGAGGAGGAGAAGAGGAGGAGAGAGAAGGAGGAGGAGGAGGAGGACGAGGAGGAGGGAGGAGGTGAAAGAAGGAGAAGACGCATGGACGGAGAGGGAGAAGGAGAAGAAGGGGGAGGAGGGAGGAGGGCCCAGGAGACAAAGAAGGAGAAGGAGCAGGAGGAGGAGGGACGAGGAGGAGAGCGAGGCGTCCTCCTCCTCGGCCTGCTCTGACCGCGCGGGCTGCTCTGCCGGCGCCTCCTCGGCCGAGCCTCCGGCGCCCATGCTGGCCCAGGGGGGCGGGCGCGGAGGCAGCGCGCACCTGTCCGCGGGGGCGTCGCGGCCTTCCTCGAGCCCAGGTATGACCAACGAAACAAACACAAGCACAAACACATACAGTCAGGGAGTTGACCGAAGGAACCCTAAATAAGGAACGAGGCTCCTTTCGTCCAGATGCTAAACTTCGATTCCCCCTCGAAAACCTGAGGACAACCGGAGGCAAACTAGAAAACACCTGAGGAACACTGAGCACCTCCCTAACGAAACGGGTTCCTTCTTCAGCGCCACGAGGAGCGGGGAAGGGCAAGTCGACGAAGACGCTCCAGGCCCATAGCCCCCCCCCCCTCCAGAATTCCACCCCAGGAGTTCTGAGGGACGTATAACCTGACCTTCCAGATTGCTAAGAAATACCACTCCAGACCTAGAAACCTATCTTGACTGCATCGAGCCTGGACAGAAATTAGGAAGTCGATGGCCTGGTGCTATTTTCTAGCCCTCCTGGAAGGTCAGGGTAAGCATGGCTGTTCGTCCCAGCAGCCCTTTGGGCTCCGATGGTCCACCGGTATCTTCCTGCTGTCCTCTTCGAAGACCCTCTTCCCTTCGGGGAGGGGTACCCCCCCCTCCCCTCCCTTGCGTCGATGTTGGGGCACCCTCCCCTCCAAGGCGGCTCAAAATAGCCATACATGGTTCAAGATAGCTTCCGACATGCCTCCAAGAGGCCCGCCGAGGGCCACAAGACGGTTCGAAGTGCTCTCGCAGCCCTCTCAAGACGGGCCCCCATATGAAAATTCCATGATTCTTGCCTTCTCGCCTTTACCCTTCCGCCGATGCGCTCTTGAGGCCTCAAGATGGCCCCACGATGGCCGAAGAGAGGCCCAAGAGGGGCCCAAGAGGCCTCCCAGACGGCCCCAAGAGCGCCCAGAAGCCCCCCAAGAGTGCCCCAAGAGGGCCTCAAGAGGCAATTTTGATGGCCGCAGGGGGGAGGGACATTTAGGACCCCCCTCCTTTGATCGACACCCCAAAAGATGGCCCCAAGAGGCCTTACAGGGCCCCCAACAGAGTCACAAGAGAGCCCCAAAAGGGCCCAACGACGGCCACAAGACGGCCCCAAGAGCAACCAAGAGCGTCCCTCGAGGGCCCCAAGAGGCGGTGTGGCTCCTCCTTCTCCTCTTCCTCCTCCTCCTCCTCCTCCTGCTGTTGCTCCTCCTCCTCCTCCTCCTCCTCCTCCTCCTCCTTCTGCTCGTCCTCCTCGTCCTCCTCCTCCTCCTCCTCCTCCACCATTCCTCGTCTTTAAAAATACCTCCTCCCTGTCGCACCCCGCGGCCAGTCGAAATGGCGGGCCGGGCGTTTCGCCTGAGACCTCCTCGCCATGTGTCCCTGATACTTAGAAGCTGGCAGCAGTTTGACAGATGCGGGGCGAGTCGCTTCCAAAATGTGGCTCTCGCCTGAGCGCAGCAAGAGCTTCACGGATTGAGGGCAGGTCGTTTTCAAAATGTGGCTCTCGCCTGAGTGCCGCGCACACTCTTTATAACCATGTGCAAGAGCTCCATCTATTGAGGGCGGGTCGTTGTTTTAATGTGGTTATCGTCTTAGCGCCGCGCAAATTCGTTCTGAAAGTTTGCAAGAACTTCGCGGACTGAGGGCGGGATGTTTACAAAATGTGGCTCTCGCCTACGCACCGCGCACATTCGATCTAGAAAGTTGCAAGACCTCCACGGATTGAGGGCGGGCCGTTTTCAAAATGTGGCTCTCGCCAAAGCGCCGCGCACATTCGTTTAAAACATGTGCAAAGTTTCACGGGCTGCGGGCGGGTCGTCTTCAAAATGTGGCTCTCGCCTGAGCACCGCGCACATTCGTTTAAAACAATTGCAGGAGTTTCACGGGCTGCGGGCGGGTCGTTTTCAAAATGTGGCTCTCGCCTGAGCGCCGCGCACATTCGTTTTAAACCTGTACAACAACTGCATTGGTTGAGGGCGGGTCATTTTCAAAATGTGGCTCCCGCCTGAGCGCCCCGCACAGTTGTTTCAAACTCATTCAAGAGTTTCACTGGTTCCCATGCCTATCGTACCAAGAACATATGTTTGAAACGACTCTGGACTGCCAAGGCGCAGCAGTTACCTTACGTCACGGTTTTGAAGTCCCAGGAATGGCCTTCTGTCACGATTCAGGATCACCAAGACGTAACGGTCAGATTAACTCATGGCGTAGAAGTCCGGAGAATCATGTTTTGGCATGCTTCAAGATCTTCCCACGGTTGTCCCCCAACGGTGCAATGACCTCAGTGGACATGACCCCTTATGGGGGCCTGCGAAGAGGAATATTGGTTGGAGGGAGGGTGTATTTCAACATCGTTGATACGTTTTGGGTTTGCAATGGTCCTCCTCCTTCTCCTGCTCCTCCTCTTCCTCTTCACCTCGCCCCCGTACGGACCACAGGGATGGCCGGAAGAGGCTCTCCAAGGCCATCCCTTTGCTCCCAGAGTTCTTCCTGTTCATTCTGGTTGCCCGGTGTATTCACTCTGTGTGCGTCTCTTCGCCCTTTTTCCCTTTTTGGCATCGTGTCTGAACTGGATGGTGGGGAAAGGCGAATCGTGAAGAATTGTCAGCTCGTGAAGTCTGACCGCGGGGGGGGCTATGGGATAGGAGGAAGGAGGCGGAGGAGGAGGAGGAGGAGGAGGAAGAGGAGGAGGCTGGTTTTCCAGCCTCGGGAGGTTCTCCAGCGGCTGCGCCTCGCCAAGAGCACTCCGTGGGTGCCTGGATCGTCCCCGGACTGCCGCCAGAAGACCGAGCCATGACCCGAAAACCAACGACAGGAATGGGATGCTTGAATCACCGCGGTGGTTGCTAAGGGGATAGGGTGGGGTTCAAGCGGATGCAGATGTCAGGCAAATCTGGCCTAACCCAGCTCATGAGTGGGCTGCTAGTGCCCAGAGCGGCTCACAAAGGGTAAAGTGATGATCCGGGCTAAGTGGGCGGAGCCCCCTTGCCAGAGTCAACTTATCCTTTTAAGTTACGTTTTCTTGGTCGGCGTTTCGACATTGAGCGGAGAGGGAGGGGAGGGGGGGTCTGGCTCTGGACCTCTGCCTAGCGCGACTGCTTGCAACAGTGCGTCCTATAGGGAAGACCCTACCTGCTTGAGACAGGCGCCAGAAGCAGCCAAGATCTACTCCATAGCGGGGGAGGAGGTGCGAGGGCCCGCGCTGATCTGCAAAACAATGAATAAGACAACGATCCTCAGGGCCTAGATTAGGCCAGTTACCCTTGTAAGCGGCATATAAGCTAAGTTAGGCCAACGATAAACCACCTCCAGATCCACGCCTACCCCCACATCCGTTTATCCAGCACCACGCAAAAGGATAAATTCGCAACCCCCAGAGCCCAACGATATATACATATATACACACGTATATATAGTATCCGCCTTCCGATGCCCCCGAAGATCGATCCCCCGTGCGGTGCCTGGCGGATACATCCCAGCCTCGATAGATACGATCAAAACTCTTCCCAACAGAGACCCAGGGGGACGTTGGATGTCGACCTCTGGACTCCCCGAGGTGCCCAAAGGCTTCTTGTCGGTCCGAAGGGCAAGCGGGGGATAAGACATTGCCGCGGGGCACCCGCTGGCAGACCAGCTTCTTATGTGATGTGTCTGCTGCACACGAACCGTGGTCACAGAAACGCGAGTCTAGGATACGAGCCCCTTCGCCGTAGGCTGTGCCCCATGGACATACCCAGAGCGCGAAGAACGCGAGGGTATCCCTTGAATGTGAAGGTTCTTCATAACCCGCAGGTGGAGGTGGAGGAGGGGAAAACGAAGTGTTATAAACAAAACCGAATCGGCTTGCCATATAGGAGTCCTAGCTCAAGCCTTACTAACTGGTCCGTTGACTCCCCAAGTCCTATGCCCCCCCCCGAATTCCTATGGCTATGCCTATGCCTATGCCTCCCCCCAACTCCTATGCCTACGCCGTCGCCTATGCCTACGCCTATAACTTTGACAATGCACCACCTCTCGCTTGCTTGCTCTTGCTTGCCATTGCGTGCTTGCACTTGGTCGCTGGCTCTTGCGTGCTTGTATTTGCTCGCTTGCGCTTGCTTGCTTCCGCTTGTTCGCTGGCGTTTGCTTGATGTTGCGCCTCCTGTCCTGCTCCCATCCTCCTTTCGTCCTCCTTCCATCCTCATCTCGTCCTCCTCCTGTCCTCCTGTCTATCTGGAGTCAACGCTGGCTGATATTATAAGAACAAGGATAACAGAAAAAAAGGAGAAGGAGAAGAAGAATAATCACAAAAAACGAAGAAGGAGCAGAAGAGTCAGCGTTGCTCTTCGTCGACCTGCTGATCGCAGAGCATGGAGCTCGAGCAGAAGCCTGCCCCGCACGATCACAAGCTTGCCACACGAGGCAACGGGAATCCAACACCGTGCAGCCGATCACGCTCGGTTTTCGGGCGGGCGCAAAGATCGGGGTTCCGGTAAGCTGGGGGGGGGGATGCCCCACAGGCCTCGATGGAGGGAGGATGAAGACGAGAATCCGCCACCGCGCTTGCAGCTGGTTGGTGCGAGTCGGGCCATGCTCGCCCTCTGCTACCAAAAATCTGGGACCCCCGGCGCATCGAGCCCAAGATGCGTTCTTTCGTGTAGCCAGATCCCTGCGTTCATGGCCGTCCAAATAAACACAAAGGTCCCAAATGTGGAGCTTGGAGAACTGGAGGGTTCCGTGGACCCTCCCACCTCCCCCAGCCAAGGAGCCCCCCCCTCCCAACCCGCCCGAATGCGGTGGCGTAATCGCGCGGCAGCGCAAGTGGATAGAGAAGGAACAACCTACAGAATCATGAACGTTCGGATCTGCACCGACACCCCATTCCCTTGCGCGCAGAGCACGCCAGAGGAGCGGCCAGGGGAGTCTAGCGCAGATCCAAAAAAACATCCGCGCGGACCTCAGGAAGATTATGGTTATGCAAGCAAAAAAAGGAGAGGAGCAGGGGGGCCCTCGTCGTCCTCCTCCGCCCC